GCACCGCCGTTATTGAAACGATTGACCAATACAACTTCCTCGAAAAGAAACTGCAAAGAGAAATATTTGGAAAACGTTTAGAAAATTATTATAAAGAAGAATATGAAGACAGCAATTTATTTTTCATTGCATTTACTTGATCGAATTGAACAGCTAAACTCTTCCAAGCTTGATTAAACAATGGCAAAGCAAGAGCATTATGCAATACATGAAGACGCGTTGCTAGTTCCTGGAACATGGGACAACCACTCGGTGTTACCGATAATGAAGAGACTTCTTTCGAAGACTGCATTGCAAACCACCTGAAAATAATAAAAAGTGTTCTGTTAGTATGATAATAAATTCAGGATAATTTTTTGGCAATGATTTGGGGAAAGTTTTTATACTTGTCAGTTCTGTAAGCTCTACTTTTTGCCTTTACATCTAAAGCTACCGAATCACTGATCTCATTTATCAATTCCCTTTCTAATCGTTGTAAGAGGGCTACAGCCTCATCAAACACAGTGCCTTCTATTTCTCCAATGCTCTCACTAACATCACTGCCCCTGTCAGTGGCATTTTCCACAGCTTCAAATTGCTTCTTGAAGAATTGCAGTTGTAAAAAATGCTACATAAACAAAATTTCGTGATAGTAATTATCTCTATAATCTCTTTTACATAATTATAAATAAAACTCTCTATACATACAGCAGTCACACCCCATTCTTCCAAAACGGTCGCGACATAATGTAACGTATTGAGAATATGCGGCATGAGTGATGTTAATGGATCTTCATAATTCTCGTGTAACAGTTGCAACAATCGCACTCTCCAGTCATCAATCAATTCTAATTGCAACTCGAGAAACTGCAATCTTCATAAAACAACAATAATAATGTCGATAATTAATCTCTTGGAATGACTTTTTAATGATTTACCTATGTCCAGGCTGAGGCAAATGTTTATATCTATCAGAGATCGTGGTGAGAAGTGTAAGAAAAGCATCCGCACACTCAGTAACCTTCATGTCATCGATATCGGGACCCGCCAGTTTTTCCCACGCTGTGCTTGAGCTTAATATTGCATCCATTTTTTCGGTTGCATCTAAACAAATAGATATATATATATAGATGGATATACATATTTCTATATTTGAAGCATACGTAAGATCACTTTTTTACACTCACATTTTTTCTCCATATTAATCCATTTTATGAAAATGTGGGCTTGCGTAAGAACGAAAACAGTGGCTGGCTGAGTTTGAGGATATAACAGAGTTTCTCGCAATTCTCTCTCAAATCCTAAAGCTTCATCCACCAAGTGTGCAAACAAAGTGTCATCGTACTGTGCTATGGGTAATTCGGAATGAAGTTTCTCAACAGCTAATTGAACTAGAGCACGCATAAATTCGGCCTATCAATATGTACTATAATTAGTAACCAGAAATATGAAACTAAAAGTTAATATGTCGGGATTCGATCAATTTGTAAGTTATATCAAACCTTTATATCCAAATGTCCAAAACCTATAGAGTCTGCTGTAGGTTGAATGTACTTTTGCACCCATTGTACATGATCTTTGATCCAAGTTAATATCTGTGTAAAGAACCATTCCGGCTTATCTTGACGGTTCGTCAATTTAGCTCCTGTGAAATGATAAATAAACCTTTGTCGAAGAGGACGTACTAAAAGAGCAATGGGCAAGCTAACTGGGGCAAAGTCTGTCAATAGCACAGATGTTACAACAGGTTTTGCCATTTCTTCTCTATATACATTAAGCACAATATGAGAATAAATTTTGTCAATCTATATATCTTTTTAATAAATTAAAAAATAATTAAATTGTGTATTATAAGGATACGGTAGTTGCAAATGAAAAAGGTATTCAGTGAGCATTTTGAATCTTGTCATCATTTCTGGTAAGGGTGTGTTTACTGAAGTGCCATTAGTTCCACAAAAAGGCCATCTTAATGTCTTCAATAAATCATTGTACTCCCTACAAAATATTACTGTATTATATAAGAGTAATGGAGGGGTACATTATGAGATAAATTATATATTTTTAATATATGCAGGAAAGAAAACATACTTTGATAATTTCTCCTTGATTAAATTATGCCAAAAGTGCAGAGTTTCATGAACATAATTAACCAGGTGACGACACATAGATGTTTGCAACTGACAACTGATGTTTGTCAAATTGGTGTATAAAGTTATCATGGATTCATCATCACCGGACGACAACGATGTCTCTATCTCGTCACTAAGCACGAATACGATCATTAGGCAAATAATAAAATTACATATTTCTTAACACAATTTATTACCTGATATTTTCTATATACTTTATGAAGTACAAATAGGATAACGATTTGTCCAGCTGACTTATTTTGTCAATAGTTTCTTGCAACTTTAAATTTTTATCGTTTTCGCTAAATGTCTCTTCAATCTCCTTGCTCAGATCAGCACAGTTTTCCTGCAACTGCTCGACTTCGCAATTGATAAGTTCTACATTTTCGACCACTGCTTTTACCTTGGAAGGAGCAGTGGTTGACGCCATTGATAACTACACAAGACAAAATATTTTTCATTATTTACATTACATGTTTCTTTGCGAATAAGTATTGACTTACTGATTTTTCAATATCATCCTTCTCCGTTTTGAGATATTCATGAAAATCATAGATTTTTTCAAGATTTTGTAAACTCGATCCCAGTTGCACATTGAATTTTTGTATAATTTTCTGTTTTATATCCATTATAGGAGAGAAATGTATACTTTACATCGAGAAATTAAAAATGCTGTACAGCTGTTTTAAGTCATTCATGTGTCACTTTAGCAGAAGACAAATACAAGTCATATTGGGTTGCGTTCAAAAACCTGCTTGAGTAGAGTAGCGTTCGATTGACCAATCAGAAAAATTGGGAGAAATTTGTGCTCCTTTGTCCCGATGTTGGCAACATGTATTAACTATCTACTACCAACTCATCAATTTTACTAGTTATATACTGCTGCTATCTTCAAGCGGAAATTTGAATGAATTTTTATTGTACCAACTGTCGATTGGTAGCCATAAAGTATACTATAAGTTTGGATGGCGGAATAGTTGTTGGGTTTATCTTTTTCGTGTTTTGATAATTATTTTACGATTACGTTTTCAGCAGTTTTCAGTTTGAAATATATAATGGTAAGGAGCATGTTTCGCGATTGAGATGATATATTTCTCAATATTTATTTATTATATCTCATAGAGTTACATTATTAAATTATATTAGATACAAATTATGGAGACAACCATGCACACGTTGCACTGAGCCCTTATATATCGTGGATAAATGAAGATAAAAGATACATAGAAGAGAAAGAAAAGAAATATTTTAGTCTTACTTCAAGGCACATATCCACTCTACTCGCAATAATGAATCGCGATCGTGTTTGTGTCGCTTTCTTCAAATATCGATCTTGGCGTTTCACATCCCACGTTTTCTATCAACGCATCGCAAATATGCATTATCAACTTCATTCCGGACGGATAAATTCGGACGGACTCTGAAGAGGCGTGAATTTTAGAAATCGACACACCGATTCGACACTATATAAAGGTTAGTATTATATATCACACACCGGCAATATAATTAATATCGCTCCCCCGACACAATTGTACTCTAATATTATCGTGTAATTGTACGCATGAAAATAAAACGTGAGAAACGCGTGTGCGCGGAGTGTCGCCTATTAAAGTATCGCGGAAAATTTTATTTTATTTACTTTTTAATTATTCCTTTCTTCCCCCTCTGTTTCTCAATTTATTTACTGGTACGCGACACGTATATGCTTTCGAAATTCGATCGACGATGAATCGCGAATTTATTTCGTCGGCGTTTGCGTTTTTACAGTAGATAGCGAAACATTTTCTTTTTTTAACGACTGCCATATTCACAGCATTTTTCAAAATGGAATCTTATACGCGCCGAAACTTTTCCACTTCGACTTTGGATATAATCGCCGTTTTCGAGCAGAGAGGGATACTTGTGAGAGGACACTCCGCATACAACAGTGTAGGAGAATGTAAACGCATATCTCTACGCTTCGTCTACTACGATCCCATACAACGAAATAACACCGTAATATCGCCGTAATCACGATATTATTATATATACTAATAATGATTAATAATAATTTCTAAAATCGTCGAGAGAAAGACGCGACATAAGGGGGATATTAAAATAGAAGCCGGGGTAGAGTGTATGTTACGCTCACCGTATGTATATGTATTACATCGCAAGATTCGTCGATTCGCAATCGAAATTGCGATCTTTATCTCTTCCGCGCGTTATACATATGTACATACATTCTTTTTCTATTACGCGGTAAAAATATAGATCGCGGGAGCAGAAACTGCGATTGGTAAATATCGTTTGAACGCGGCGATAGAAAATATCATATGCATCGCGCGCTAATCGATCGATCTGGCACACATACATATACATACATACATGTATGTATGTATGTACACATGTATATACATATGTAAATTGACGCGCTGCTTATACGAATTAGTAAAGGACATTCGCTAATTATTCAAAGGCACGATGCGTGAATCGTTTCGCCGCGAAAAGTTTAATAATTATTCTCCAGACGAGGAGGAATATCAGAGTGGAGGAATATCACCGAGATACAAAGAAAGACGATGCAATTAGAAAAAATGAAAAAGAAAGATTGTGCCATAGAAGAAACATGGCGAAAAAATAAATGTCAAAATAAACGCTGTATACGGAAAAAGTTTTACAGTACATATTATATGAAAATTACATTCTCTTTTACATTTATTGCAAATTTAAATATTTATTACTATTAAATTATTGAATATTCCTGTGTGAAATATAATATTATTAAATATACATATATATGTATTATATTTTATAATATGTTTTGCGATCACAAAAATTATATTTTAATTTGCGAAATTATTAGAAAAAATAACAAATTTTTCTTATTATTGCCGCTTATACATTATGTATATCGGATACGCACTGATATTCATCCTCATCACGTCGCCGATCATGGCAAATATTTCACGGCGTAATCTAATAATACTTCAATCGATTATAATATGTCTTGCCACACTATCGGTCACACTTTCGGCAATAACAGAGTTCTTATACACGTTACATTATAACACGTTTTAACACATTGGTCGGACGGCGTGTTAAAACAATCTCGTTAGGCACACTAAAATCGCGCGACGTTTCATCTTTACGTGTATTAGGTCATTGTTAAGGAAGAAGAGATAAGATGTGTTTGCTTTCATTTTCTCTGATATTTCTTCCTCAACGATACTTTTTCCTCTCGACGCTTCGATCGTAAATTAATCGCGCTTTAATTACGAGATTGATATTTAACATTTTAATGCATACGATTAAACGGAACCATTGCTTTTGCGTAGTCTTGAGTGTGATTGTTTAACAATAATAATTTGTTATTTGCGTTTTATCGCGCAATCGTTGTTTGTGAAACGGAAAGTGTATGTTATCGCGAAATCCGATAAAATTAAAAATTGATATTGCTTCAGATCGATCTGACAACGTTATTCGCGTTGTTATTTACGTTTTATGTCAATCGAATGAAATGGGAAGTCGGAGGGGGAGATGTATGGAGGGACGAGAACATTTGTTTCGCCAATGATTCCTGAGAGGCGTTTGCGAGAGAGTCACCTTGGCTTGGTTTACAGGGTGTCCAAGAGGTCGAGGAGCTCAAACTGATTATTTTCATCCCAGCCGGCGATCAGCAAGCTCGTGAAATCGTCCTCACTTAGGCTCACCTGCGTCGATTCCGGTACTTCCGACAGACTGTCCGGAATTGGGGGTGACACGCTACTAGGCGGGGTCTCGTATAGAGTGCTGGATAGGCAGCTGGTGGGCGGCGAACAGCTGTTCTGAAGAGCATTGAGCGTCGTCGTTGCTGTCGTCGTTGTCGTCGTCGCTATCGTCGTTGTCGCGGTTGTCGCGGATGAGGATTGCCTCTTGGAGTTGCGAATTCGCTGTGATATTGCGGAGCGACGTCTGGACCGTTTACCCTCCTCCATTCTTTCGAGATCCAGTTTCCAGAAACCGCCCTTGCCCGGCTCGTCTTTAGAACGCGGCAGTTTGACAAAGCACTTGTTCAGCGAGAGATTGTGTCGAATCGAATTCTGCTCCGATAAAAAAAAACGATAGAGACCGTTAATCGCATTCTTTGCTGGATGTTTAGAGAAAAATAATAAAATACATAATATACAATAATATTTAAATAATATTTTTAATCATGTTTTAGGAACAAATCTGCGAAAAATACAAAATCTCCTTTACCTGCCAGGCTGGATCGGCATATTTGTAAAATAAGAAATTCTCTCGAATCCATGCGTAAATGTTGGAAAGGGAGACCTTATTATTGTTGGCGCGCATCGCGAGACAAATCATGGTGGCGTAAGAGAACGGCGGCTTTGCATCGGGATCCGTTCGATACTTGCCGGCATTTTCCACCAGATCTAATAGACGAAAGAAATTGAAGGAAATTTGTATACCACACTCGATTTTATATACACGAATGATTCTTTGCAAGGTTTAATAATCTTTATACTCATTTCAGTTGTATATATAATCGATTCCAATTATATATAATAATAGTCAATTCTCTCTCGCTTTTCGATTGATTCGCTCTTACGCTTTTCTAGATTATTCTAATGATTACCTAAATCGGCCTTGACCAAGGGCGACAGCTTCTTTGGGGGTTTACGGACGACCGGCGGAGGCGATGGCGAACAAGGCGGCGTCGGCAAACCGGACGCGCTGGTGATGTCCAACGATTGCAGCCAGGAGAGGCTTGTCAATTCGGCCTCGACTCCGTCGTAATCGTCCGGACTGCTGTCCATACTGCTACTGTCCACTGCGGCGGTGGCGGCAGTGGGCGAGTACTCCTCCTCCGTCGATACCTCAACTTCCGCCAGGTCTATCCTCATTTTCAGGTCCGTCTCTCATCACCCGAGTATGCCAACGCAACGCAGCACCTATGCAGACCAGTCACTTTCGTGCAGATGAATTTTTCTCGAACGCGCACAATTGTTCACATTTACAAAATTAATAAGTTTTTATCTGATTGAATTATTCTTTAATTAAATTCTTTGTAGATGAATGATGAGTAAATGATGTATTTTTGGGAGATAACGATGATACTTTGTCAGGACGCACTTTTCTACGCATTCACATACTTTTCTTTTGCAAAGGGAAAACGCTATATAAAATTTATATATATATATTGTACAATACGCGGGTAATCTACTCCAATTGATGTTGAATTCCGATTGTACAGTTCCCAGAATCGTCCGTGCAATACTTTGAACTCATGTGATTCATTGGCTCACCGAAATGTCTGTTGACGTCACGACAAAGAAAGCATATCACTTGGCGCGAAAAAAAAGGTTTTTTCTCTTTCTTTGTTTGATCTCACGCGTTACTATTACATATCAACATGATACATGTTTTACGATTTACATACATTTTCAAGAACACGTCGCGCTCTTTATAGAGAAAATGCACTTTTCAATGATGCGTCATCCATCGACATTTGTTCGTGGAAAGAGAGGCAAAACATCGATCACCATCCCCCGGTACATAGAAGGAGAGAGAGAGAGAGAGAAGAATTTCGACAAAAATTTCTAAAATTTACACCAAGAAAAATATCGAACGGAATGAAAAATTACTTCGCAATGTCTCGAATAGATAAGATACGTACGTACATAAATATACTAAAAAATAAGCTGGTGAGACGCGTGCGTGCACACGGCACGGTCGGATGAGTTGGACTGGTGGTAGCAAGGGGTGGAACGCGCCTATGTCTACCTGCTTATTCTAGCGACCTGACTAAAATTTACACCAAGAAAAATATCGAACGGAATGAAAAATTACTTCGCAATGTCCCGAATAGATAAGATACGTACGTACATAAATATACTAAAATAAGCTGGTGAGACGCGTGCGTGCACACGGCACGGTCGGATGAGTTGGACTGGTGGTAGCAAGGGGTGGAACGCGCCTATGTCTACCTGCTTATTCTAGCGACCTGACAGAGGTACGCGCGTGCGATGACAGGTGCTGGGTTCCCTTTTGCACAGGTGGACCATATACACGCGCCGGTCGGGCGACCCTCTTCCCTTTTCGTCGACCCTCTCCTAACTGAAACTAACAGGGGAGCTTACCCTTGTAATTCTGATCATGGCGAGTACAAGTAGCGTCGGCGTCGAAATATTTCAAGCCGCGGACGATATGTAAGGATAAGAGAGAGAGACGATGTATTAATCGAATTATAGAATATATCGATTACGTAACACTCTTTAAGAAGCCTCTCTCCACAAGTTGATTTTCTTTAATAAAAAATATTTTTATTTTAAACGAATCTAGACATAAGCGTCGTCACATTTACATATATCTAAATGTACCGTTTGACCTTGAACTATGCGAGCTAATTATATTTCAACTCAGATATATTTAGATAATTTCTTTGATTAGCGTACAGATACATAATACATTTAATTTTAATGGAAAATTTGCAACAATTTTTCTCTATTAATTCATATATCTATAGAAATAAATATCTGAGAATTGTTCAAATATCTGATAAAATAAAGTTACATTATTCATCTCCTTGTTTTTTCTGACGAAGAAATAATCGATTTCAGATTTCCCGAAACCTGAATGTGGATTATCTTATGAGAACATTTCTTTTTACCGAGGGCAATCGGAAGGAGGCGATGTGTGATACGCGCGTCTCGTCCTGGCTGCGTCGTAGGCGGGGGTGGACATAGTCGTCTTGGTACAGGTGCCTCCATTGATCGAATCGGGGGGAGGCAGCGACCGCCAGTTACGATAAATTGGCATGCGAGAGAGAGGGGTAAGAGCCACGGCCATTCGACCGGGACGAGAGAATGGCGCGCGAGATTCACCCCCGGACCTTCGTGATCATTGGTCGACGTTCGTACGGGATCGTTAAAGCACGAGATTCGTCCGCTCTGAATTAACACAGACGAAGGACAGTGTCGCATGCGATATATACATAGAAACTTTTGGGCGTTCTATGAAAAATTGACCCTCCTCCGAGAAAGAAGGGATGAATGTCTTCTTAATGTGGAAAAAATTATCTTACATGAAAAAATACATCTTTTTGCGATAAAAATAGAAATTTTAGGAGAACTAGAGTGTTTGATTAAAATGTATGCGATGAATTTTTTACTAAGCTACATAATAATTATGTCTTGCGACGAGTTCGCGCAGATATGTAGATTATGAAAATATTACGTCATACATTCAAATAAATTTCTTTTACTGAACTATACGATATGTATAAGATTTTTCCTTTCTTCTTGTGGAATAAAAATTAGGGATCAAGACAATTAATATAATTAACGTTATCTTCAATATTTTCTATCTGACGTAACGCGCGTTGATATTTCTCTCCGTATTATTTAATTAATTTATTTTGTGAATATATATTAGCGCGATTCGGAGACATCCTGTTTCAAATTTTTAAGAGAATTTTCATGTACAGGAACTGGTGCCATTTGAAAAACGACGGTGCGAAAAGAATTTGGACGGACGTCATCGTCAAGGATCTCCTACATCGTCGTCAGTAGAAGTATCTGCGCGGTCGACGATCAATAATCTCCTGGGAATATCCGTTCCCTTGTCGACTCTACCGAGTTATCCAGCTGGCTACCCCGCCGGCGGTGGTAGCAGCAGCAGCAGCAGCAGAAACAGCAGCAGCACCCAGCCAGTATCAACAATAACCAGCAGCACCTGCCGCCTTTTTTCCCCGCGTGTCAGGTTGTGAGTCACTACCATGCTTTCATTGCGCGTTTACCTTGCCTACGCGCTCGCTAAAGCGACGTATCACGTGCAACAACGTAATATTATGCGCCATGTAAAAGGACATAATGGGACCAGTAATATACTACTGTATTATCTGTGTTCAAGAATCGATTTCCACATTATTACAAGACGATGTATTTTCATCGTCGCGCGCTTTGCGTTCGATTATATCCGCAATTATATAAATGGATATAACACATAAAACAATGAATTTTTTAAAAATAAGCAGTCCATATATATAGAACACGGAATAAATAAATAGAGTATGCACTATAATCTATTATATTCTATTTGTACGACCATTCTCTCGTACGGTGAAATTTTTACTTGCTTGAATCTACGTTTAACGCAATCATCTGACGGTTCTTTTAATACTTTTGAATGATATTATGGTAGCTCGCAATTTTTAAATAGAAAATAATAACGCGGCGCACGATACAATAGGCACGAATACGAACGGGAATGTCTCCTTGAGAAATACAAAGGTTGGTAAAGTCTGGTAGCCTGTCCTCTTGAGAAATAGTAACAGGTCATCGCGGTAGCAATGATGTGGACGTATTTCAATGGACAATTTAAAAGAACGGATAATATACGCGGTAGTTACGGATATAGATTCTCCGACGCGAGTCAGAGTTCCGGGAGGGCGGAGGCGCTCGGAGGTGCATCAAATATTCAAGAGAATTGATTTCGACGAGTGCAGCAGCAACACAGTAGCAGACATAATCTACATCGTCGCGATCGACGGCGATAATGACGTCTCTGTAGAACCGTGGAATTCTTTTATGATCGAGCATTTTTTTTAGCATAAAGATGCAGAAATAGACAAACAAAGAAAAAAAAACCAAAAAAAACCCGGTGACATCGCAGTTATAAAAAAAAAAGACGAGTATTATTTTAAATTATTTTAATCAAAATTCTCTCTCTTTCTCTCTTTAATTTTTAAACGTAGGCATTTTTATATTTTTCGTTTACATTATTTTTACGTTTAAAAAATTCATTGAAATTTTATGATGTAACTTATCGTGTTAGATCTTACGATACATGTGCTTAACAATTATTCAAAGAAACATAAAGTTATACTCACCGAAATCACCCAAATACAGATTTAACGTACACTTGTATATAATCGCTAATTATGATTGATGAAGATAGAAAATAATTGGTAAGCAGTAGATAGTCTTTGCATCATTTTAAAGATATTATTCATATATTGCTAATCTATTTTCCATAAAATCAATACTTTAATATCGTATAATTCTCGCGAGTATTCCATGTACGTCTTAAATTAGAAATATTTGTCATTAGCACACGTGATGGATAATCAAAAATTAGTATTAAAACACTTTTTTTCAATTAATCAATTTTACAAGGCTTTTATTCATTATATCTCTTGCGAAATTCGAGAACGTTTTACACCGCTAAATTAATCATTAACGCGCCGATGGTTCTGCCAGAACTAACGACTATCACCACAAAGCACCATCAGCACCGTCAACCACCATTGTACCGCCATCTTCTTACCTGTTCAAACGGTACCACTACGACAGGTGCGCGACCGCCCTCAGGATTATCGATTATAGTTATAATTTGTTCTTGCCAAGTTTGCTCTCGTGCAAAAAATGCGATAAAATAGTTTGATCAACTAACATATATATAAAAACATTTTGCAAATATGTATATATAGGTATCGTGAGAAATATAATATCAAATTCGTTTTATTGTTCCACACAAAAATTTCGTCGCGAGAAAAGTTTGCAAGTTGACATCTCAAATGCGATTCTCTTTCACCCTAAATTGTTTTAGAGATGGTGGAAATGTTTTTGATTAGGTACGCGCAAGAAACGTAATAAATATTGGCAAAAAATTCTTCCAACATTCGCAATCAGGCGAAATGCACCTGGACCCGCAGCTTTTAAAACCCGTCGATGGATAAATCGCCACATGCCGAGAGATAAGAGAACTCGTCGGTTAGTCGTAAGAAGAATCACCAAGGCGTAAAAATTCGATACACGCGAGCCGGAAAGTTCAATGTCCGTATGTATACAAGCGGGAAAAAGAAAATGTGTCAAAGTGTTTCGCGCTGTAAGTGTCAATGATTTATTTCCATTACATTACAGCACTCCTAACAGTTGAGATACTCGTATTTAAACCTGTTCTAAGAAAATCATCAAAAAACGGCCAATACCCGGGTGTATCATCGATACCAATTTGGCTAGGTTAATTCGCCTAGGGTATCTTTCGCTCCTGTAACGCTGCTTAAAAAAATTGTGGAAATCAAGATTTAATTATACACGGCAAGATATAATTATGCGTACATATAGGTATGTACACATTAATACGCATACATATGATCTGCTAAAAATTCATCATTCAGGTAAGTCGCGCCGTTACCGAAAATTATCTTTTCGGGAACAAGCAGAATCTCTTCGCGACATGTATTTAAAGTTATATTGAATGGGAGAAAGAGAAAGAGAGAGAGAGATAAAAGGAGATAGACACAACAGGAGAAAAAGACAATGTATGCGCCATCATTCAATACTTAACGAAGTTCACCAGCTTGTCTCGATACATACCTCTACGCGTTCTCTATCGCATGACCGTTTCGCGTGCACAAGAATATAATTCTAAGAGCGAGACGACGACGAGAACTATCGTTGGTTTCGCTATCTACGTTAGATCATCGGAATGCGCGGTATAATACAGTTCATATTCCAAGAGTAAGAGTCTGAAGAGAAAAACCGCGATATTGTGATGATGTGATGACACATTCTGTTGTCGTCGCTCTGCCGCTTAAATTGTCAATTCTTAAGGTTGATTCGTAGTGAATGGTGTCACTCCGTTATTAGCCATATTGTCCAAAACTCCGCTTATGTACGCTGCAACATCGATCATCGCTTCCTCCGCTCGTCTGATGAACGGATGTTCCAGCAATTTATTGTACTTGGGTCGCTGTGTCTCTTCCTTAATTAAGCTTTAACAAAAAAAAAAAAAGAAGATACGAACGATTTTAATAATCAAATATTTCGGTATATTTTCGATTAATAAGATGTATGAGAAATGATTCTTTACCATGTATTCACAAAATTCACAAAATCCATAGTGAAGTGGTTTCCGTTCTCATTGGGAGAAAGTCGCGGTGGATCACCTTGTACCACTTGATAGAGTTGTTCAAAGACAGAGTTCCATTTCGGATATGGAAAGTACCCTGTGGCAACTTCCATCATCGTGATACCTAATGACCATACGTCGCTTCGTACGTCGTAACCACGCGCGCGTTGTGGGTCTATCCTTTCCGGCTAAATAACAATTGTGACGATATTATAAGGCCTAATTAATTGAACGCTCGTTATATTGCGGCATTATCAATTTCAATAATTATAAAACTTACAGCCATATATGGTCTACAACCAGCGTCCCGGGTTCTCGCAATCGAGTCCACAAGTTGGCCGGATATACCAAAGTCGCACAATTTTATATTACCTCGTCGATCCAATAAAATATTACTAGGTTTCACATCCCTGTGAATTATTGTTAGTTCCTCCTTGAGGTAATTTAGTGCTTTTACAGTAGCCACTGTAATTTTGCCTAGAATACATTCTGGTATCCTCTCGTTTAATCTCTCATAGATGAACTTGTAAAATTTATCTAACGACGTGTCCATGAGTTCCATGCAAATCCAACAATCTCCCTATGTGTAAAAAGATAAGATAAGATAATGCAACTGTTTTTGTCATTTTCATGCATCATATCATCAAACTATATACCTCTTTAAATAAAGCTCCATAAAATTGCACGATACACGGACACTCGTTTGACTTCATCACAACTTCCAAGTCCATTAATAATTGCTTTTGTTCTCTTTCGTCCACAGTAGAGCGAATTCTCTGAGATATAATTTGAGTCACTTTTAAAAATTCCAGTGCACCATTTCAGCAGAATTGAGAATGATATCGCCAATTTACCTTCACAGCCATAACGGTATTGCTTATCCTATGAATCATCTTATTTACAGTTCCAAATCCTCCTCGTCCTATTTCTCCAAGATCCTGAAGATCTTCGCTTGTAAAATCATAAACCATGCCTGGAGATAATTGCAATTTACCGGTACTTTGCATAGACTGGCACATTCGCAGTTTGTCTCTACAATAAGCTTTATTGTAACTTACTTCAAAAGAGATGTACATTTTATTCATTTTTTTTCTATAATAAATACTATACCTTGCCTTATCAGGAAGAAACTCTTGCTGTTGTATTATATTGCGAGGTCGAACTGGCAGCTTAGATAGAGTTAAAGGCAGAGTTGGGCGTCGTTCTCTATTTGTTGCAAATAAAAAATAATAGAGCAATCTTATTACACAGAAATAACAAAATAAATATTATAAAACTATCTCGCTTGCTAAAATCTCACATTGGACACACTGTGGCTCCCGTTGAATTCACCAATGAGGAATTTGTGGAATTGGCAAACGATAAATTATTGCCCTGTGTTTGGAAACTAAGTTTCAGCTGTCTTCGCCTCTCTGTAACAGAATGTGCCATGACGAAGAAATGGATTATAGGACTCGAAAAAAATCTTGTTTATCGTCATTATTATTTTACTATCTCAAAGATCATCGTTATAATTTTAAAGATTTCGCATTAGCCTTGCACATACCCGACATCTCGTTCTGCACGTCGTTGTTTGTTCGAAAATCCATTCGTGGAAAGCTAAAAGATCTGCTAGAACCTGCAATGCAATCACATCGGGATTCGATTAGTGACCAGCCAGAGAGAAGGACGAAATCGTGGAGACTGTGCTCCTCGTGTCAACGCGGGACAATGACACCATGGTTAGGTTAGGTTTTCCATGGTCGTTCGGCCCATGATCGACGTCGCGTGGCGAGAGTTAACACGACAATACGATTACCTTGGCCGGCTTGTCCCGACGAGTTGGCCTGATTGTCCGCCATTCTGGGTCCGGCGAGCTCTGGCTGCTCTCGAGCAGCGTCGCGCGCGCACGAAACCGCCTCGTGAAAGACGCTCTCTTCCCCTTTTAGAAGACCCTCTTCTTCTTCTCGTAAGATCTCAACAACCTGGCGTTACACGGCAGTCGCACCATTTGTGCGATCTCTTGTCCAGAAGCGACAGAAATCTTGTCTCTCTCTTCCTGTTTCCGAGTCGATAACGTGTCGTCAAGTTACGTTAACCTCCTCTCCTTCCCGTTAATCACCGCGTGATGTTTCCGTAAACTCGTCCGTCGCGAACATTTGGCTACTCGACGAGTACGATCGTGCACAAGGTATACATTACGACACGATATCGCTCTCACGTCTCGCGTAGCGGATAGTGGATACACAAGGCTAATGGCAGATTTTCATGAAAATCTACTTGTCAAGTAGAGCTCATGATTGACCAATCAAAATTTGCCCCCTTTATTCTCATTGGTCAATCAATCGCTACTGTACTCCAACTTTAAATTTTTGAACGCAACCCTGACGTAATATATCTAGTGACTTGTCTTGTAACAGCGCTCTCATCCTCTCATTCGCATAATTGAAAACACCACGATATTAAGGTTAGGTTCCAAAATGGTGTAAAATTTCCTCTCTAAGGAAAATTTCACTCAATGGCAGTTTTGGAATATAACCTAAGAAAATGGCTAATTTACGTTTATCTATCGCATCGATTACAAATTTATTAAATAATCATGGATTCAAGAGGTACAATGTGAGAGATTTGTATAAGGAATTATCATTAAAACTGCAACATCTTTTCCTAACAGTTTTTTTTGTTATAAGTTTCATAATTGCTACCGTATACAAATACATTTGATGAATGTACAAGAGTCTCACTCGTTTCAGGTGCAATCTTACAAGTTTTAAAAGGGAATACAGTGTCTTTCCTCAACATTACATTAAACCGATATATAGAAAAGAGGAGCAAGAAGTTCTTCAAAGCGAGGAGGCGATGAAGATCGCTCATCAACAAGTGAAACCAGCATTTGTCACTGACACCTGTTCAGAGTTTTACGATGCTAGAGTGTTGTAAGAAACTGTTTCAATTTATTCTATTGACAATTTTTTTTACATCTCTTTGACAATTTATTTCTCGATTATATTTAGGAAATTTATGAACATTATTATGAGACATGGAAATAGGAAATTAGCAAGAACATTGTTGACCAAAACTTTTGAAGGAGTCAAAAGGAGACAATTGCAGCGCTATCACAAGGCGAAAACAGATGAGGAGAAAGATAATATCGAACTGGATCCATTTGTGGTTTTTCATCAAGCTGTTGATAATTGTACACCTATTTTACATTTAATAGGCTGTAAGAAAGGAGGGATCACATATCAGGTAACAACGTATTACAAAGTTATTCATTTATCAGATTAATCGATACAATGTGATTCAAATCAATTTTTTTTTCAGGTTCCTTCTCCAGTTTCACCTATACAGGCGCAGCATAAATCCATGAATTGGTTGATTGAAGCAGCAAACGAAAAAGAGGACGATCAGAGATTTTACGATACATTAGCTAAAGAATTAGTATTGGCATCTCAGAATCAGGTTTGTAAATTTGATCGACTTGGTATATAAATTAATCTCTACATCATTTATAAGATATATATTGCAATGGTGCGTATTGTTCCAGGGTCGTGCAGTTAAATGGAAGGAAGAGTTACACAAAAAATGCCAGGCCAATCGGGCTTATGCACACTTTAGGTGGCTATAGGTAAAAAACATAGGTTCTGTTTAAAAAAAATATATAATTTTAAAGTATACAATTAATGTGATTCTTTCTACAATATATTTATACATATACACATATGTAGAAAACTTAATCCGTTCCTAGAGTACATTTAAAATTGTCCGTATCGATTATTCGTCCCAGTTTCGTATTTATCTTTAATCTTTGCTTTTGCGAGAAGAACATTACTTTTCTATACAGATAATCAGTGATACTGATCGGATTATCCGATATAGGAATAATTTCATCGATAGCAATCTCCATGTCTATTCTTTTCCCCCAGTAGTCTGTGTAAGATAATATTATTTTTTGCTTATCTAACTTCATATATACATATCCTATGAGATTGTTGCATAAAATTCCAAGACTATGCAACCATATTGTTGTTATAACACCTGTGGACAAAGTTAGAGAGCATTCAATTAACCGGCAACGGATTATGTTCTTAAAAAAGTAATTTATAGAATCTTACTACTTGCTATCGCTGAAGTGGTTGTGTCAAGCGACACAATATCGGTCAAGTAAAGTCCAACCATCACAGGCACGACCGTTGCAGTGAATATAGTGATTCGATGTTTTACGATATTTATGACACTAGCATGTTTGATATAAGGAAAGCTATAGATTACTTTGTAATCGGGAAACCTTGTCGAGATTACTGTTTCCGTCTCCCGTTTTTCCTCGTTTTTATTCACAACATGACACAGTCTGTTGATCTGATGTCTAACATTATTCGAAGTGCGATATAAAGATCGCTCGCAAATGTTTGTCAAAAGTCGGAAATACATGTGTGAGAGAGAGAGAGAGAGAGGTTATATTATAACAATAAACTACACCCCGAGAACTGTGATCACACCAGCAATGAGGTTAGGTTATATTATAATAATAAACTACACCCCGAGAACTGTGATCACACCAGCAATGAGGTTATAGTAAACAAGTAAACATGAAACGCAGACGAGACTTACTATATATTATATAAGAACGACCGTGCAAAAGATATATTCTTTTTAGAGTTTTATATTGCATTTGTTACACTCAAAATGAAATATACAAATAATATCGAAAGAAAAGGGGCGTAAATTATAAGAAAGTGTAAAGATTAGAGGAACACATTATTTACAGCGCGAGCTGTCATCGTAAAGATCGGTAAATGTTTAGAACAACCCGCTCTACTTAGATTTTGATAAAAATACATTTTCGAGGGAAGGTACAGTAACAGAATTGTACAAATATAAGAATTGTAATATAAAATCCGCTTGTCTTCCTTCTGAAATTTGGATAAATCTATGTCATTCTAAACGCAGAAAAAGTAAAACTATGAAACAATTTGTTTCATCGACTGATTCTCTTCATTTTTCTTGTAAGAAATCGGGAATAGGAAATTAATTTTGCACTCCCAACTCTCAATTTCAAATAATGCGCCACGCGAGACCACGAGAGCGGTCACAATTACTGCGCATGCGCGCGACAATTCTTCGGATTGGCATCACTGATTAGTATGTCCCGAAGTCCCGAGTCCCGATCGCTCGTCCGTTAGCCATGTTTTACGATCAGATACGTAACGAGCTTATCGTACGAAAATGAGTGCCGCGGGCGAGAGAGTCGATCTGTCGTGGTTGTCGTGCGATCGGCCTCGACGACGGTGAAGAGGCCCCGTTGCTACGGCAAGACGCGGAGTGGCATGTGTTCGCTTCCTCGGCAGGACATCGCGCGCGTGTGCTACGGCCGGTGATCGTGCTCGGAGGCGGTGTGCGGTGATATCTCTCTTTCTCTCTCCCTCTATCTCGGAAAGGCTCTCTTGCAAGAGAGCCGAGAGCCTCACGCTCAGCGACGCGCGTCGGAGTCTGTGCGTGACAGACCCGCTCTGACCCAATGGAGGAGCCGCGTCCTCTCACCGTCTTGTTGGCTTTGTTGTTGACAGCGCTCGCACGAGGTAAGTTCCTCTCGAGAGAGGATTCTATATTCCTATTTTCCCTGCGATCTTAACCACCGTTACTATCTATCCACCGTCATTCAATCTCGTGAGATTCAAACGATAGAATTTCACGAATACAGACTCGCCGCTTGCCTGAAAATGCATTCGTTCATTGTCTGGGCATCGTTCGCGATACTCTGGCCTATCTCGGGCCCTTTAAGGGAGATTTCCGCGCGAATGCATCCGCGTCGCTGGACCCCGTCGTCCGTCGCGAGTCGTGAGAACGCGATCGACCTGTCAACGAGCGTGCGACGCGATACTGACAATTCGCGGAAGCAAAACGTCATAGCTGTTGAAACAATAAATAGAATAGAATCAATAATTATTTAAATATAGGTCTTGGAAGTTTTTAATAACACCATCTTGCACTTTGTATATTCAAATTAAAATAGGCGCATTTTGTGGAAAAAAAAAAAAAAAAGAGGAAAGAGAAACAAAGTATGCAAAGAGCGTAATTAACACGCGAACGAACGTAAAGTTCAAATTTGTTTGCCAATTATCATTCTTTTTAATCATAAAAGAATAGTTTTGTAAGTTTCAGTTTTCGTATTTAATTTCTCTTTGTTGCTTATATTACTCTTTCATGTGCATACTGACTTTCTTTTAGATGCAATTGAGACGAAACGAACTCATTGATCGAGACGGAAAATACAATTGCCGAGTCCCGTCCAATTTAATCGGGATAGCGAAATGAGACGAGAGTTGATGACATTTCCATTCAACGAGATTCGACACTGAATAAATATCAAGTAGAGTGTATACGTGTGTGTATTAAAACTTAATTTTTTTTTACGCCGAGTTTTTTTCGAATCGATTTCGAGTCGCTTTTTATAACGTTTTAAATATCCGCAAGAATGCATATTCTGTTCATTTAGATTGCCTATAAAATAATTCAAATTTATCCTGTAAAGATTATTCTTCTTTATCTTCATCTGAGACCTGCGATCATTCTTACTCGTCGTTTTTTTTTAATCCCGTCTTGCTTGCAAAAATTACATAATATTTCGCACTCGCAAAGTCAGACGTTCGTATAATTACATGTCGACATGTGACACCGCTAATGTAAGCAGTGCCGGTAATGTAATCATCTCTAGAAATCGAGTATTGTACATCATTGCCAGATCATATCTCGAGGAGCATTTCCGAGAATTAAATTTCGAGTATTGTTAGAAAAGCGATCTACACTCGCTTTTATCTATTTGTGCGTGTGTGGGTATCATCTGCGCAAATTTGCATAATCCGGTCGTTTGTGTGTACGAAGGAAGTCGAGTTGAGAGACCCTGCGCATCGGGTGACTATTATTGATGCAGGGAGAAAAAGAGGAGAAAGAGGGGGAAGGAGGGCGGCCGGCGAGAGAGAAGATTACGCCGACGAGAGCACGGGGGTGACTTCTTTTGGAATGTATTTTCCATTGCGATTCGAATTGCGGGGGAATCAACCTGCTGAATCAATTTTTACATTTTGCAGTAATTATAAAGTTAAATTGAGTAAGACAAAATTAAATAAATTTTGGAGCGCGAATATTACTATATTTCCATTTTCAAGGACGAACTCTCTCTCTCTCTCTCTGGGACGAATCAGCTGTCAAAAATTATTAATTTTCAAGTTCATGAATCTCGAAATGTATTAGATTTATCAATTTTTGTGACGTATCTGATCCTTTTTTAATGTACTTTTATTTTTGTCTACAATGTATGTAGATGGAAAATCAAACTTAATTTATGTAGCATAATTAATCATGCGAGATCTCGTTTATCATCACTAAATCTATATAGATCGCTAGATTAGAAAATAATATTTTTACCAAGTCTTCGTATATATATTATATATATTATATTATCGTATAATATATTTACACGTTTTCTCCATTTTTTAATTTTATTTTACCAAATTAATTCAATTTACCGCATAATCTTGCATTGCATTCGGAATGAGCGGGATCAGTGATCTCACGGGACTAATTAAGACTCGATTAATCCAACAAAGCGATCCTGCGCAGTGTGCACGTCCTTCAATATATCGCATCGTCGTGTTTATACTACACTGGATTTTAATATATAATACACTAGCGGGAGCAATACAGTGTGCCTTTCGCGATGGCGATATAAATTGACGTTGTCGGAACGAAGACGATGGGGTCTTTATCGTTGCGAGTTCGCGCCTGGTTCGGTCGTCCCGTGTTAAGGATTCATCGAGGAGATTTTACGGCTGCGGCGGCGGCGATGGAGAACAGAGCGGAACATTCCGGCTTATATACGGGCCGAAAACCGCGCGGTTTTATCGCGCTCGTGAATCGTGCGCAGTAAACATCCAAACTCTTGACCGTTTCTCCGCGATGCCTATCTCTCCACGGATATATACCGGTCTCCTTCGCACACGGGTGTCGGATCTACCTACGAAATCCACCGAATCGGTTCTCGCTACGTAATTTTGCATCACCGCCGCTCGTCGTTATTTTCAATCTAAAACGCACACATCACTATCAAGGTGATATATTTCGAACCGCTAAAGTAAACCTGATAAAGAGATTTATATAGCGCGATTATTATTTTTCTTGTATACGTTCGCGAGATCAAATAGTCTATCGAATGGCAGGGTGTATTAGCTGGAATTTTGAACAAAAATATCTGCAAAATCAGGACATTTTTTTTTTTTTACAAAATTTGAGTAGAGGGAGATACCCTGTAAAATAAACGGTTCACAGTCTTATTTGCAAGCCAGATGCGTTCTATGACTATTACCCGACGAATCACTAAAACAACGACGATTTAAGAATTAGCTATGTAAAAAACAATGACCGGGTGTCGCTTTCAGAAATGCTTGGAAATTCGCTTACGACAAAGCACCGGACGAATCGCGTGTGCGTTGCTCGCGTTTGGAAATTCGACGCGGAAACACACATTCCGGTTGAACGGGGAACGCTTTTTCGAAGATATTTCCTTACGTCTGTTCGCTATGTTCGATTTTCCGCACGCGTTCGGGATTGTTTCGCTCGTTCGATTGCGGTGGTAAGTATCGGTGAAAGCCGCGCATTTCGCGAATTATTCCGCTCGGAACTGCATGCTTGCGGTCGCCGCGTTAAATGTTGAATTATACGCGATACTTGTAATATGTGTTGCCGTTTTTGCTCGTGTCCTCGTATTCTATCCATTACGAGCTTCTTTATTGCCAGTTTCTTGCGGAATGGTATATTTTAGAGACGACACGCAAGACGTTTGTAAAATAATTTGTGAAACCGTTATTCTACATCAAATATTTTTATTAAATTTTGGTATATAATTTTTTGCATGTTAATATTATCCATTTTGTTATTAATCTTTCAAAATTATCCGGCTCCTCGTGTCAAAACCAATTATTATTTTCTCTCAACGCTTGTTTAAAATATCGAAATATTATTCTTCACATTGTTTAACGCCATTCTGTTTCATTGGTGCTCGTATTGCCCAGCGTAAAGACCCTTTTCCGGTTGATCGAGTTGGTGAAATTTCCAACAATGAGAGAGAGAGAGAGAGAGAGAGGGGTTCTCTCGGCAGACTGCTCGTTGTTCAAATAAACCTGTTATCCCCGCCGTGCGAGAACTTGTCCTGCCGACGTGTAGCATACCGCGGAATAATTATGAGAACTGTACAAATAGAACATCATAAACTAAATGGTACACAATAGTGCCAATGCCTGATCCCTTTTTATGCTCGTCCTTTCTGTCGGATCTATATATAAAGATCCCGCACTATAGGGTTACGATTCTACCTGTGCGCCTAACGACTGTGTGCTTGCGAAGCAAAAGTCTTTTCTCCATTGCGTCTCTCTATTTCTCTCTCAGTTTATCCGAAATAAATAATTGTAGACGAGTCTTTGTCGCGATAAATAAATTTTATCGTGAATCAAACATTTTTACGTTTCGAACAAAAATGTAACATTCGAATGTTGTAAAAAAAAAAAAAATTAAATTCTTTTAAACCATAGTCTACGAATTAGTCCATATATGGGACACACGTCCGTGTAGTAGACGCGTGTACCGCACGCGTGCGATGTCGTAACGACAACGGCTCGCCCCGACGCCCACGCACAAACCGGCGGCGGCGCGCGCCGGTCCAGAATCTCGCGCGTGTATTTACGCACGCGAAACCGCGCTAGCTTTAGCCCCTTGACGCATTGCGCGTTTCAGGGATGGATTTGCGAAATATCTCTTTTACGGTTAACGTTATATAATTATGTTGCGAGTTGTATTATTATTACTATTATTATATCGATCATTATATAAAATCTAAACTTGTTGAGAAAACAGTTTATGCAATCCGGAAGATAGTAATCTGTAAATTTATATTTAATCTTACGTTACGTACACTCGATCTATCGCTTTCCATAAAACTCGGCAACTCGTAAACTTTATTGCGGATTTCCTCGAAGAATGCGATGACTCTTTTGCGGAGAATACATCTTCGTATATACACCTTTGGAATACACTATTAGCGTTTACAAGTGAAGCAGGTTTGATAACTCCGAGAGCGATTAAGCCCAATTTGCCATGAACATATGTTTGATCGAAAATGGGTTTTGAATCTAATTAATATAAATAATATAAAGTACATCTCGTTTGACGCTATTTTGACTTTAAAGCACAAGATTCTTTGCTTTGTTCAATCAATCAAACGCTTACTCGATGTATTTCATTGATTAATCTAATAATCCAAATACCCTTAGTAATCCAAGACAGAGTTTATGACGTCATTAATCGCTCTCAGAACGGTCAAAGTTGCTTCACTCGAAAACGTTATATGAACCGTCCACGGGAACTTCCGTGAAGCACTCCCTTGGACGTAAAGTAACGTTTAAAACCGGAACTAACAGATGCGAAAAGAGATACGTTTTGTCGAATACTCGTTTATCGATCGCAAGAACGGTCCGATCGGGGAACGTTTGTCCGTCTTCTTCGGGATCTGTGGGGGGGGGGAGGGAGGGGGGAGGTCTGTGTTGTTAGGTGAACAATAGATTTTTGCGTCGCGAAGGGGACATCCCTCCGTCATCCTCGCGTATTTATCAATATTTACGAGACACCCTATAGACGCCTGGCTCGCGCGCGTCGCGTACCTTGCCTTCCTTCACGGTCTGTTCGTCACATGTCGAGTACTTTTACCGCACTTTTTCAACATTCTCTTCCTTTGCACGGCGCCCGTCGTCTCGCGTACATATTAATCCTCGTCGCGAAAAAATCTCAGAGATTTATCGTTCCGTAAAAAATCGCAAATACGTGCGCGAATACGTAACGGAGGCGCGAGGGAAACTCGAATTCCTGTGTACGAACCTATCGATATCTTTTCTTTTTCCGTCTTCCTTTAATCCGTTATCTTGCTTTGATTGTGTAAATACGTATTTACATTAGAGATTATTTTATAATTAGTTAAATAGTTTACTTTTTCGATATTATTTGCTTTTTTATAGCCAATTATCAAAGATGTTTATATAACATTTTTTTTTTTTTTTTGATGAAATACGTATATCTCCTTTTATATTTTTCTAATGTTAAATTTATTCGTTGCGTAAGAAGGAGATAATACTATCTGTACGTGTCGAAAAGAAAACTCGTCTAGGGAAAATGTGCGGAGACGTGAAAAGTCACGGCTATTCTATCTTGCTGATATCTCGCTACCAAGCCGACCGTGTCAACTACGCGCAACGAGATGCTATTTTTTCGACGATCAAGCGGAAATAAACATTTAAAGTTGATAACGAATCTTGTCAAGCGCGAAACCATCCGATACGTATAGGCTCGTCTGCGATAAGCGGAGCTTCCACCTATATTATTTCACGATTGCGCGTTATGGAAATTGATATAAAATATGTTACTCGCGTGATTGCTCGTTATCGACCAATCGGATGATGACCGGATTTTAACGGTAATCGAAAAGACGGGAGATGAAAATGATCGAGTATTGCAATTTTATGAAAAAAGTGCCATTTTTTTTTTTTTTGTAAAAGCAACGTACATCTTTGTCGCCATTAATTTTTTTCTTTATATTTTGTTACACGTTATATCGACAACTTTAAACTCGTAGTTTATGATCGCGTGGTACACGTGGTGTTTGCACCGCACACCCGGTGCAAAGTGCCAGTGGTCGCATGCGATAGATTTTATACTCTCGTATATACGATAACACACAGACTCTGTAATAGTTCTCCCGGTCTCTCTATTTCGGTATCCCATGCGGTAGGTTCTCGCTTGTACTCGTAAATCAAACGCGGTACAACGTGCCGAATGGTTTATTTTTCTTTCGAGCGCGGGATGCAAGCGTCGCGGCGCCGAATACCTTTCTTCTCTTTTCTTCCTCTTTCTCTCTTCCTTTCCCATCTTCTCTCTTTCTTTTCTCGTTCTGGGAAAAGCCGTCAGCATCTTGACGAAGTGCAAGTCGCAAGGAACGATAGAGGTAGAGTCCATGAACTTG